TATATATATATATATATATATATTTTTTTTTTTCAAGTAATCCATGAGAAGGTGATGTTTGATTCCTTAAGAAAATAAGTCTTATGGAATAATAACAGAACTTCTAAGTAATCTTTTAGCAAAAACTGACTCTTAATGAGAACAATTCAGAATGGTGCATAGTATTTATCTAATACACATTTTCAGTTTTCCTAATTTTAGTACTTCTTGTCACTCTGAGATCAAATCAAGGAAAACGACGTAGGTCTAAGTGTTGCCAGGTGTGCTCTTAGGTCTGTAAGCTTTTCATCATTATATTTATATAGCACCGTTCTTTTCTTCCTTTCCTATCTCTGTGTAAAACGGTTATCACTCACATTGCATTAACCCAAACCAAAACAGACTCTCAGATAAAGGAATATGGAGGAGAGTGGTGGCGGACCCCGCCCAAGGGAACCGCTTCTGGAGGCGCCGGAGGAAGAGGTTGCAAAAGCTTCGTGGAGACTTAACTTAAAAGAGTTTCGTTTGCCAAGCCAAATAGATGATCATCAACACAAACCATGCTTCACTTTTCAGAGTCTTCTTTGTAAACCAAGTGAGACCATTCTTTCTTCGTGTGGTTTGCTAATGATGGTGTCGTGTTGGACTGTGATGACTCTGTTTTTGTACACTCACTATCTTGCGTGTTGGATTTTGTTTTTCTCTCTACTGTTATCATGCATTTATTGAATTCTGCAAATTGAGGCTGTTTTTTTGCTGAGTGTGTTTTGTTTTCTATGATGTTTTTGAATTGTGAAAATCGAGGTAGTTTGAGAAGTGATTTTTGTAATTATTTTTTGTTGGTTATTTATTTTAGGCCATGGTGGGAATCTTTCGATAAAGACACGGTTTTTTCACTGTGAATGTGCATCTTTGGTAGTGCTTGTGTTTGATATCTTTGGCTGTGCTTGTGTTTGATTACTTTGGTGAAATTCCATTTTTTTTATAATAAGTCAAGAGTACTCATGTATTTTTTATTGATAATTATTACTATTATTAGAGATAGATACTCCATTTATCATATAAAGTATAATTACTTTCTGATTAGAATATATTTACTTGATTATATTGATAAAAATTACTATTATTAGATATAAATTAGATATAGATACTCCATTCACCATATCTTTTATAATTTCTTTCATGTTAGAATCTCTTGTACTTGATTATTCCACACCTAATCGAAAGTTTCCAAACCATAAGCAATCATGAATCTTCCTCTCCTTAATGTCTTCTCAAATGACATGAAACTGCTTTCTGTTTGGATTTCAGATCATTCTTTTATACCCTCTGTATTATCTTTTCTCCAAATATTAAATAAGAGTTGAGTAAAATAATTGACAAAAGTTGAAATGTTTACATAATGTTTAAAATTTTAAATCTTTAATTAAAAAGGGCTTAGTAAATGGTGATTTGAAAATGTTGTGACATTATTGATTATTACTTAAATTAAGTTCAGAGAGAATTCATCATCAACATCTTTCAGTTAAATCCATATTCTCTAGTTTATGGATTTGCGAACATACTCCCTAATCTCTCTGTTAATTTGTGTGTTTCAGGGAAGACACGCAGAGTGGCAGAATATTACAAGAAGCAGGAGAGACTCCTTGAAGGATTTACTGAGATGGAGACTATGACTGAAACGGGTGGTTTCCCTGGAGCTCTCTCTCAGGTTTGATTGTTCCATCACTACTATTGATCACTCATTATGATTTATACATAGAACAGAACTAACCATTTTTGACAATAATCTCAGTGAGTTTATGACTTTCCATTAAACTTGATCATCGCAAACACTTGCTGATAGATTTGGTAAAATATTGGAAGAGAACTCTACTAAATGTGCATTCCAAATGTTTGTCAGGATGAAATGAAGCAACTAGCGAAGAGTGAGAGGATGGCAGTTCATGTATCAAATATGTGTAACTTGGTGCTGTTTGCAGCAAAGGTTTACGCCTCAATTGCTAGCAGATCATTAGCAGTCATTGCCTCAACCATGGATTCTCTCTTGGATCTCTTGTCAGGGTTCATACTGTGGTTTACTGCTCATGCCATGAAAAACCCAAACCAATATCACTATCCAATTGGAAAGAAACGCATGCAACCAGTGGTAACATCTTATTTAAACTGTTTTTCATTAACTGCAACCTTTTATGTATAGTATCATGATATGAAAATAGTGAGAATAGCAATAATTGGTTATATAAGATACTTTGAAAATAGTCCTTGCATGGTTTGTTGATGCAACTACATGCTGATATGATTTCCTGTGCAGGGTATCATTGTCTTTGCATCAGTGATGGCTACCTTGGGGTTGCAGATTTTGATTGAATCTGCCCGGGAACTTATTTCCAAGGTAATTGATATAAATTTTTGTTCTTGTTTGTTCCCAATAATTATTATATCTGACACAATTTTAATTTCCGGTGTCATTCTTGTTCTTAAAGTCTAAGCCTGACATGGATCCAACAAAAGTCCATTGGATGATCGGGATTATGGTGGGTGTGACTATAGTGAAGTTCATTCTGATGGTCTACTGCCGAAGATTTAAAAATGAAATCGTTAGAGCGTATGCACAAGATCACTTTTTTGATGTCATTACTAATTCTGTTGGATTAGCTGCTGCTGTTTTAGCTGTTAAGTTCTACTGGTGGATTGATCCAACAGGAGCTATTATTGTGAGTTTATAACTACATCCCAGTGCTTCTCTTCAGTTTTTATTTTGTTTGGTACTTGGAGCCAACTGCGTGATTGAACTACTAATGATACCATGAATGTGTGTTAATGCAGATAGCATTGTATACAATTAACACATGGGCCAGGACAGTGATTGAGAATGTTTGGTCACTCATTGGAAGGACAGCACCACCTGATTTTCTTGCCAAGTTAACTTACCTCATATGGAATCACCATGAGCAGATCAAGCACATAGATACTGTTAGAGCATACACCTTTGGTGCACATTACTTTGTGGAAGTTGACATTGTCTTGCCAGAAGACATGGTTCTTCATCTAGCACACAACATTGGTGAGACACTCCAAGAGAAGCTAGAGCAACTTCCGGAAGTTGAGAGGGCTTTTGTGCACATAGATTTTGAGTGCACTCACAGGCCAGAGCACAAGACCATGGTGTGATGATATGCCATTGAACACTGATGGCATAGCTTAAATTTTCCAAATCTCTTGGTTATTTTATTTAAGCCAAATAGCATAGTTTTTCTTTCTGATGTTTATAGTTTCTCATTCCTCTAAATCATACTTCCTATTTGGTTCACTCAAAATAACGTAATAACATGTATTTAGTCCTTATACTTGGTCGACTCAAAATAATTAAGAATCTTTTTCACACCACAACTTTTTAGGTGTATGTACAGGTAGGGTGTAGGAATATATAATTTTGAAATATAAATAAAATTAGTGTTGTTAAAATGAATTAGAAT